ATGTTTGACCCTCAGCCCTTTCCCCCTCTCCCGTTTACACTATCTCTGCTATAAACAGTTGTCTTCCAGAGGGTCATTGAAAATGCGATACCTGCGAGAGGAGGAAAAGGGGCCACGAGTCCTAAGATTTTAACAATAGGGAAAATAGATTCCATTCAAGGTTGTATCAAGTGTGGGTCTCATGCAGTTCCGCAATTGTAGGTGAGTCTCCATGGAATACAGTTTCAGGAAAGCGGTTCTGGTAAGCAGAGTTGACCATCAGTTGATGCAGCACAGCAGCCATCTTGTGATTAGCAGGCATGGTGTTGTGGAGATCTGCAGCGTGACTTATCCTGGGTATCTGGCTTCCCTAAGAATGGTAGGGTAGTTCCTATTCTTCCCTGAGGTAATGCAGGGCTGGTAACCATCATCTTCTCACTGTCCATAGGTAGATAAAATCCTTCTATACAGTATATTTCTCAATTGGTTTAAGACAGCTCGGCACCTGCCACCACCTTGGCGCGGGTCCCGAGGGGAACGCACTGAGCCCGGGAGGGCCTGCGCAAGTCCCCGGAGTCCAATGTCTTAACCATCATGCCACCTGCTGGCTCCAACATGTACATTTCTAACCAACCCCCAGATACTGCTCCTGCGGAGGAGTCTACACTTGAGAACCATGGCTCTACAGAAACATACTGTGCCAAGATAACTAGTACCATCAGGCTTATCTCTTCTCTGCCTAGGGCTCAGGACACATGGTGCCCCAATATCGACCTGCTCAGGCTCTGAAGATGTTCGAGAGCTTCCTAAAGAACACCTCCTTCTAGTGATCTGCTCAGCTGCCGGTAGGTTTCCCAGAGGCTGAATCTCTCCCTATTCAGCTTCTCTTGGGATTGTATTCTGTTCTTTGAACTTTTACCCATTTTCTTTAAAAGCTCCATGATGGTATAACCAATATAGCGAAATGTGGGAGGAGAAAAGGGGTTAAAAAAAGAAAAAAGTTGAAACCAGCAGGTAGCGTAGTGGTAAGGTGCTAGACTCCCACATGGCTGACTGCAGTGTGAGTCCTGGACATGACGGCTTGAAAATCACACCAGGCATATATGTGTGTGTGTCCGAAATACCAGGAGGAGAATAAAGGAGATGGGATTGTGATGTGGTCATCCCTCTGAAAGGGGATTTCTTACTTTCTTCCTCATTGTCTCTCTGTCTCTCCAGTGGGCACATGTGCCCTATGGAAAAATTAAAATAGATAAAGAAATAAAAGGAACTAGCAGTTGGCATAATGGCTATATCAATGGACTCCCATGTAGTCTACCACGGTTCGAGTCCTGGACCCTGTGACTTAAACTCATGCTGGGTACGAGTGCGTGCGTGCCCAAGATCCCAAGAGGACAATGGAGAAGAAGGGACTGCGGCGTGGCCATCACACTGGGGGGTGATTTCTTGCTTTCTGTCTCTCTCTGTCTTTCTGGTAAGCACACACACCCTATAGTAAAAGCCTCTTCCAAAAAAAAAGAAAAGAAAAAAAGAAAAAAGGTCATGAGCCATCCAGGTGGCATGGAGGTTAAGGTGGCTGGATCCCACATGGCTGACTCAGTGTTTCAAATCCCGAACCCGGAAGCTTGAAACACACACCAGTTCGATGCATGCAAACCCCAAATCGAAAGGCGACTAGAAAAGGGAATGTAGCCTGGCCATTCCCTGGGGAGTGACTTCTCACTTTCTCGGAACACATATACCCCATAGCAAAAACTAAAAAGAAAAAAAGTCACTGTTTGCCTCCCTTGGCAATGACCCATTCCCTCTGTGAGACATAGCTCTCTCAGGACAGCTTGCTTCGCTTGGCAAGAGTCCGTTCCATCTAAAGAATTGATATCTTCTTCAATAAACCTTGTTTAGAAAGGAAGAAAGCAAGAGAGAGAAAGAAAGAGAGAGAGAAAAAGAGAGAGAAAGAAAGAGAAAATGGAAGAAAGAGAGAAAGAAAGAGAAAGAAAAAAGTCTGTTTGAGGAGGGTGGACAGTAAATAGTATGTTGTCTCCAGAAGCTGCTTGGTTCCAGTGAAGGTTCTGTCCCCATCTCTCTTTGTGACCTTGATATTATCACCGAGCTCTTCTGAATCTCTCCTTTCTTGTCTGCAAAATAATAGAACATTCCTGGGCTCCTATCCTGCATCCAGAAGTGATGGGAGGGAATCTCAACACTGGTTTGGAAAAAATAAACTTGAGTGAGCCCGTAGTGTAATGGTTAACGTAGCTGGATCTCACATACCCAACTCTGTGGTCAGAGTCCTGGACCTTGTAGCTTGAAAAAAACCATGCAGTATATGTGTGTGTGCATGCCCAAAATCCTAAAAGGAGGAGAAATGGAAATGGAGAAGAAATTGTGGCATGACCACCCCCCATGACAAGTGCTTTCTCACTTTCTCTCTCTCTCTTTCTCCCTCAGGAGCTCACATACCCTCTGGCAAATCGAAAAATAAAAACAGATAAAAATAAAAACAAAGGAATATACCTTAATGCAAATTGCACTTCAAGAGATCTTACATAAAAGAAACCTGGAAAACAACTTACTCATTGCCACCTTTGTTTTAAACAGATGTTTCTATGTTTTTATTGCCAGCATGGAAATAACAAGATTGATTATTCTATATCATCTACAGTTTATGAAAAAGAAATAATTCCCTGGAGTGGATTCTCTTCAAGAACCATTTATTCAGTATTTACAGAAGTTCTATTATGTGCCAAACACCAGGCTGGGCAGATTACTAAGTATTAAACACTCTGAAGTACGAGTAAACTTGTCGAGATGCTTTCTTTATTTGAACCTGAAGTTCGCTTTGTCCTTTCTTTCTCCATCGTTCACTACTCCACACACCAAAGGCCACATGGCTACAAACACAAATAAGGGCATATCCCCACTCTCCAGCCAGTGACTAAGGTTAATCAGGCTCAGACTATTGGAGCTGAAATGGCCTTAGTACAGAGACTCGCCAACATGTTATTCCAAAGATCTCTTATGATCATTTCCTTATGGGAAAAACAAATACACCTAACATTTGCTGGTAAATTAGAAATTACAATAAAAATTAATGCTTTTTAAAAAATTCTTTATTATCTTTATTTTGTGGTTGGCCATATCGGAGTTCAGTGCCCTTAGCTACCATACCACCTGCCGGCTACAAAAATTTAATGCTAAAGATACCATTAAAGGGCCAGCCAGTAGTGGTCAAGGCAGCTGAAGTCCACATGGCTGATAGCATGTCTAGAGTCTGGGACCAGGTGGCTTGAAAAACACATTGGGCACATGTGAGTGTGTGCCCAGAATCCTGAAAGGAGAACAGAGAAGGAACTGTGGTGTGGCCATCCCCCTGGAAGTGCTTTCTCACTCTCTCTCTCTCTCTGATGAGCACATGCTCCCTGTAGCAAAATTAAAAAAGAAAATATCATTAAAAAAAATCAGGGACCAGGAGTAGCAGTTGGCGTAATGGCTATGTAGCCGGACTCCCATGTAGTCGACTGCGGTTTGAGTCCCGGGCCTGGTAGCTTACACCCCTGCCTGGTGCGTGTGAATGAGTGTCCAAGATCCTGTGAGCAGAATGGAAAAGAAGGGATTGCAGCATGGCCATGCTCCCTGGGGGATGATTTCTTGCTTTTCTGTCTCTCTGCCTTTCTGGCCAGTAGACGTACCCTACAGCAAAAACCTCTCCAAAATAAAGAAAAAAAAAACAAATCAGGGACCAGTCAGGTGGCATGGTGGTTAAAACAGGTGGATTCTCATTTTCCTTCTTTCCGTCTCTCTCTGGCAAGTGTCCATACCCTATGGCAAAAACCTAAAAACAAACAAAAACAAAACCAAAAGAACAAAATAAACAGCCAGAGACTAGACAGTGGTTCAGCAACATGACTGGATTCACGTGGGCAGATCCTGGTTCATGTCTTGGGACCTTCCTGTGTATGACAGATGCATACATGCTAGGTATGCATGTGTTGGATGCATGCACATGTGTGTTCATGATTCAGGCTGGCTAAGGTTGGGGAAGGATCATGCAAGGGAGGCCCTGCTGAGGATGCCTATCTCTCTACTCTCTCTTATGGAAGAAAAAAATAGATTAAATAAAGAAAAACACCATATACACATATGAATTCCAGGACCCCACAGTGATTGTTTAGGGGTCACACAATATTTGCCTAATATCTTCAGAAGAATAAAGAAAATAAGGACTAGGAAGCAGAAGTGATTTATCCAATGTTAAGTAGAAAGTTAGTGACATAGCAGGTATGACTTAAGCTTTTTAATTTCTCAGACTTGGGTTGTTAAATTTCTTAGTAATTTTTTGCAGGGTGCCTCTCAGGGCAGAACCACCAAAGTCCTACCAAAATCAAGGAATCCAAGTAGTGGGAAGATTTGGAGCTAGGCAGTAGTAATGGGATTAGCATTAGATTAGTAGAATAAGATTAGCATTTTAGAGTTAGGCTGGATGAGTGGCTTTGGATAGGCCAGAGAAACCTAAAGTAGTTGAAACTACTGTACATTAGCCCAGCCTCTACAGTCAGTCTCTTAGTGGACTGTAGAGCTGGAAGCCACTGCAGTTTGAATACCTGACCTAAAAACATACCAGGTGTGTGCCTGTGTGCTTAGGATACTGGTGGGCTGCAGGATTGAAGAAGGGGACTACAGCATGACTAAGCCTATGGAGGGTGTTTTTTTTTTCTCTCTCTCACATGTGAATGCACATGAGCTCTGCCATAAAAAAATTTTAAAAACTACTGTTGGGCCAGCCCCACGGTGTGGTGGTTAAGATGGCTGGATCCCACATGGCTGAGTGCATGGTTCGACTCCTGGACCCTGCAGCTTAAGAAACATACTGGGGGGGACCAGCAGTTAGCGTAATGGCTATGTCGCTGGACTCCCATATAGTCAACCACGGTTCAAGTCCCAGACCTGGTAGCTTAAAACTCACTCTGGGCACGTGTGCGTGTGTGCCCAAGATCCTGAGAGGAGAATGGAGGAGAAGGGATTGTGGTGTGGCAATCCCCCTTGGGGGGTGATTTCTTGCTTTCTGTCTCTCTGTTTCTCACTGTCTGGGGAGTGCATGCATCCTATAGCAAAAACCTCTCCAAAAAAAGAGAAACATACCAGGCATGTGCATGTGCATTTCCAAAATACTAAAAGGAGGGAAAGACAGAAAAGGGATTGGGGGGTCAACAGGTGGCATGGAGGTTGGTGGCTGGATCCCATATGGCCGACTTCATGTTTTGAGTCTTGAACCCGGTGACTTGAAAGTCATGCTGTGCCCATGCACATGCATGAGCGTGCATGCCTAAATATCCTGAGAAGAGAATGGAGAAGGGATTGTGGAGTGGCTATACCCTCTTAGAGGTGATTTCACACACACACACACACACACACACACACACACACACACAGTATGCAGTGAGTGCCTGTGCTCTATAGCAAGAAACACTAAAAAGAAAAAAAGGGATTGCAGCCTGACCATTTCTCATGAGGGATGCTTTCTCACTTTTCCTCTCTCTCTTGCTCTCTTCCTCTCCGTCACTCCTGCAAGTACACGCACCCTCTGGCAAAATTAAAAGCAAAAATAACACAAAACTATTGTGGGCTAGCCAGTGGTGTGGTAGTTACAGTGGCTGGATCCTACATGTCCCACAGAGACATACAGGTTTGAGTCTCAGAGCCAATGACTTGGAAAACGCTGAGGCATGTTTGCATACATGCCCAAGATCCCACAGGGGAAGAATGAGGAGAAGGGATTATGATATGTCCTTGCCTCTAGGGGGGGATTTCTCTGTCTCTCCCTCTCTCTCTCCAATGTGTGTATGTGTCCTACAGCAAATTGAAAAAGGCAAACAAACAAACAAAAACTATAGTAAATTTAAGTTACTAACTCATCTGAAAAATGGAGCTGCAAAACAGGAACATGGAACAATAAAGCCCTACATTTCTTTTTGTTGTTTTAAGAATTATTTATTTAATTTTATTCATCTATTACCTTTTTTTTTGAGATTTTTTTGCGATAGGTATGTGTGTTTGCCAGAGAGACAGAGATAGAGAAAGCAAGAATCACCCCCCAGGGAGGATGGCCACACTGCAATCTCTCCCCCTCTATTCTCCTCTTAGGATCTTGGGAACACACTCACATGTGCCTGGCGTGAGTTTTAAGCCACTAGGTCCAGGACTTGAACTGCAGTTGACTATGTGGGAGTCCAGTGATGTAACCATTATGCTATGCCATATGCTGGTCCCTCCATACTAGCCCTCTTACGTTGGGTTGTTGTCATTAAAGTCATGGTGTATATTTTTCTATGCAAAAAAATGTGTCCACTTTTCCAACAACCCAATACAAGGCTTTTGTTTCCTAGCACTTACATTTCCCTTCCCATTGGGAAACAATGCAAAGAGCTTTATAAAATTCTTCCCGGGCCTGAAATGCATAATTACTTGGGGGTGTGAATGACTTGAAGAAGGCAGAGTAAAGAGGCTAGGTGAGTAATTAACAGTTGGCCAAAATGTCCTGTTTCTAAGTACGTTTGAATTTTAACACACAATAATTGCTGTTATAATGTGATTCACTGAATCCTTTGTGAAGTCTCTAATAATTAGTCTGCGCATGATTTTCAACCATGTCTTTTCATTTAAAAAGGTACTCCCACTGATCTCTACTACCCTTACCAGTTTGCAAATATTTTGTGAGTCTCTTAGCTATCTAGTAAGGATAGAAGTCACCCAGAACCCTGACACATAGTTGCAGGACTTTGGTCTCCTGGCCACTGTGCAAATTTTGTAGGTATGTGGCTAAATCATCGTAACATGTCAAATCCTGGGAATGGCGTTGGCATAGCTCCAGGGGAGGGACTGGCAGTAGACACAAGGATCCCTTGGAACAGTCTCAATTTAAAGCAGCAATCCATTTTCCTTGCAAGGACAGGCTGAAGCAGGAAAAGGCAAGTCACCTTTATTTCTACTTATCTGCATTTTAGGAGATTTGTGTTTGAGACCAGAACTAGTTATAGAATTACAGAGTTGACTTTAGATAGTTGACCTCTACAAGTATCACTTTCTGTCTTTCTCTCTCTCTTTTAAATTGCTTTAACTTACACAAATAAAACAAGAATACAGTCTCTTTGTACAAGTTCAAATAGTATATTAGTATATAGAATCAAAAGCAAAAGTTCTCTTTACCTTTCCTCATTCCTAATCCCCTCCCCAGGGATAAACATTGGTGTGCATGTGTGTGTGAGATATATTTTTCCAAATTTTTAAATGCATTTAGTTATATATTAATATAGACATTTCCTTCCACATGACTGGTAATAGCTTATGCTAACTTTTATCTTCTATTCTGTACCTAACTTTTTTTTTTTTTTTTTTAGATTTTTGCCCTGGGGTGAGTGCAATTGCCAGAGAGGAAAAGCGAGAAAACATCCCCCTGGGTGGATGGCCATGCTGTAACTCTTCCTCTTCCATTCTCCTCTTGGGATTTTGGGCACATGTGTTTATGTGCCTGGTGTGTTTTTCAAGCTACCGGGTGCAGGACTCAAACTGTGCAGTTGGCCATGTGGGGCCCAGTGTCTTAGCCACTATGCAATCTGCTAGCCCCATGTACCTAACTTTGTTACTTAACAATAAATCTTAGAACAATTCCATATCAGTGTACAGTTGGACTTTCTTATCCACAGAGATTTGCATCAGCAAATTTAATTGATGATCAAAAATATTACATTGTGGGGCCAGGAGGTGGTCTGGTGGTTAAGGCGTTGGACTCCCACACGGCTGACAATGGTTCAAGTCTTGGACTGGTGGATTGCTCTTTCTCTCTTTCTCTTTCTCTGTCTCTCTCTGATGAGCTTACGTACCCTACAGCAAATTTTAAAATAATAATAATTTGGGATCAGCAGTTGGCATAATGGCTATGTTGTTGGACTCCCATGTAGT